TTGCCGGTCCCCGGTCCGGTACGGGGGCAACACTGAGGGTTGCGATCCGTTGCCGGACACGGAAAAAGACAAGACAAAAAAAAGTGCTTTAAAATGCTGGGGGCTTATGAGGAATTGTCAACAGACACAAAGAATGGTTGGGTATTGTGATGATGAATAAGCTAACTATCCAGTTTAACCGTCACACATTGTACACAATTATTGAAAATCAATGTTGTACCCCACATGTATGTATAATAAATTATCAAAAACAAGAAAAAATTAAAAAATTAAAAATTAAAAAAAAATAAAAAAATAAAGATAAGGGTTATTCTTTGGGGAACAGTAGTGAGTGGAAGATGATTTGCGAGGGGTGGTTCTAGCTGCTGGTGTTGTTCTGTTTCCGGATCTAGTGCTGATTATACAGTTATGTACTTCATGAAAATTCATCAGTTATATACTTATGAATTGAGTATTTTTCCGTATGGGTATTATAATTAAATAAAGTCTTTAAAAAGCTTGTAATATAAAAGTATGCTGTGAGTTTTGACAAATATATAATGTCATATATTCATCAGTAAAGTATCAAAAAAATAGTTTTACTACCTTAAAAATCCCCAGGACTCCTGTTATTCAGCCATCCTTGCTTCTCCTTGTACTCTTGGCAACCGTTGATCTTTTTATTGTCTCCACTGCCCTTTCCAGAATGTCGCATAATCGGACTCATGCCTGACGTAGTCATTTCAGACTGGCTTCTTTTATTTAGCAATATGCTTTTAAGATTCTTCCATATCTCTTCATGGAATAATAGCTCATTTCTTTTTATTGCTGAATAATATTCCATTGTAATGGTTGTGCCAGTTTAAGGACATCCCATTTGCTTCCAGTTTTTGGCAATTATGAATGAAGCTGCTATAAATATTTACATCCAGGTTTTTGTGTGCACCTAAGTTTTCAAATCAGTTGGGTTAATACTAGCTGAATTGTATGATAAGACTATAGTTAGCTTTGTAAGAAACTGCCAAACTATCTTCCAAAGTACCAACTAGTTTTGCATTCCAAACATCAGTGAGTGAATTCCTGTTACTCCACATCTTTACCAGCATTTGGTATTGTCACTTTTTTGGATTTAGTAATTTTTAATGTCATATTTCATTGTTGTTTTAACTTGCAGTTTTCTAATGACAGAGATATTGAGCATCTTTTCTTATAATTATTTGCCAGCTGTATATCTTCTTTGGTGAGGTGTCTCTTCAGATCTTTTGCCCATGTTTTCAATGAGTTGTTTTCTTGTTGAGGAGCTTTAAGAGGTTTTTGTTTGTTTGTTTTTGTATATTTTGTATATTGTAATACAAGTCCTTTATCAGATATCCATTTTGCAAATATTTTCTCCCACCCAGTGCTTGTGTTTTCATTCTTTTAACAGTGTCTTTTATAGAGCAGAAGTATTTAATTTTCATAAAGTTCAGGTTATCAACTTTTTCTTTAATGGATTATGCTTTTGGTGAGTTCTAAAAACTCATTAAACCCAAGTCACCTAGATTTTCTTCTGTGATTTTTTTTTTCTAGAAGTTTTGTAGTTTTGCCTTCTACATTTAGAATTAATTTTTGTTAAAGGTGTGAGATTTGTCTATGGATTTATGTTTTTTGCATGTGGATGTCCAAATGTTCCAGCACCATTTTTTGAAAATACCATCCTTTCTCCATTGAATTGCCATTGCTCCTTTATCAGAGATCAGTTGCTTATATTCATGTGGGCCTGTCTATGGGCTGTTTTGCTGTGTTTGTTCTTTTACCAGTATCACACTGTCTTGGTTATGATAGCTTTATAGTTAAGTTTTGAAGTTGGGTAGCATGAATCCTGTAGCTTTGTTGTTCTTATTATTGCATTGGCTAGTCTGGATCTTTTGCCTTTTTATACAAATTTTAGAATCACTTTTTGATCTACAAAATAGCTTCCTGGGATTTTGATTGGGACTCCATCGAATCTGTAGATCAGCTTGAGAAGAATTGAAATCCTAACAATATTGAGTCTTCTAATCTATGAATATAATATTTCTTCACTTATTTAGATCTTTTTTGGTTTCTTACAGCAGAGTTTTATAGCTTTTCACACCTAGATCTGGTGCACATTTAGTTAGATTTATACCAAAGTATTACACTTTTTGGGTGCTATTATAAATCATATTGTATTTTAAATTTTAAATTCCAGTTCTTCATTGTTGGTATGTAGGAAAACAGTTACTTTTGTGTATTAACCTCATATCCTGTAACCTTGCTATAATCACTTATTAGTTCCAAAAGTTTGTTGATTCTTTATGATTTTCCACATAGACATCATGTCATATATGAATCCTGCTTGATTTAATGTATGAATTTTGGGGGAACACAGACATTTAGCACCCCACAAACTCCTTATGATTAGATTTGTAGAGATTTGTGTTTCTTTGCTCATTGCTGATTCCCTAGCTTGTAGAACAGTGTGTGGCATATTGTAGGCCCTCAGTAATTACTGATTCATGAATAAATGGCTCTGCTCACTTTGTCAAATTGTTTTTTATGTGTTCTAATTTATTTATTTGAGGTATTAATTAATCTGTTTTTCTTTGCTCCTTTATATGTCTATTTTCGTTTGGGAAAAATGATTTTTAATACCTATTTTAGGTGATATTTATGTTTATAATGCTTTAAAAAATGAACTTTATTGCAGTTTTCTTACCTATGATTGACACTTGTACCTAGCTCATTATCTTAGTAATCATGTAGGAAGTTTAGTTATTTCTTTCAGTATTTCATTTTCCAAGTTGCTTACAGACATTCCCAGTGCTCTTAATGGGAATGTCTGTTCTTTTTATGAATGTGGTTGTGATTTTACTGTAAATTTAGGTAAATATCCGTACCTACTCTTACTTTGTCCTTTCTCAGCAAAGTTTTAAAATTTTTCATTATTTTGTAAAATAGATCAATAAATAATGCCTGCCATGAAAAATATTTCCAATCAAAACCTAACAAAATAATAGAAAATAAGACCAAACCCCTTTGCAGAGTATTATTTATGCTCCTCATGAAACCATGCGCTCACTGCATAGATACTAATTGACTTTTTAAAAAAAGAAGACAGTTTGTGTATAATGGAAAAATAGCACCAAATTTTAAGTAATACATGTATGTAAATAAACAGCATTAGGTAATCTTCAGGTTATTTCTTCTCCCTCTTAGCTGGGTTAATTTTTTTTTCTTGGCTAATAAGGGTGGGCCTGATTGATAGGCATCAGTTAGACTATTCTACCATCACCAGGCCATGTATCTTTTTATTCTTGCAAAACTTGTGCTGTTTCAAGAGTTTTCAAAGTATATAGCTCCATCAAATCAAGGATAAAGGGTCTGTCATTCATTCTGTCCTTCCTTGGCTAATCTTAATTTTTGTCTGATGTATAACAGTGAAAATTAAGACTAGTGCTCTTACTTTCCAGTTTATTAAAAGCCATCTTCATGACTTAAAAAAAAAAAATTTTTTTAATATTATATCTCTTTAAAAATTTTAAAATAAAAAACATTCCTTTATAAGCAAGTATACTTTATTAAATATTAGCTGTTTTTCCCTGCTAGGGGCTCATCTGTTTCAACTGAGACTAAAAAACAATAATATTTCACCTTTGGAATCTTTTCCCCCTAGGTTTACTTATGTTTACCCAACTTCCGATCTCTTACTGAGGGGCACTGCCTAATAGTACCCTTGCAGCACCATAGAGCAGCTACCTTACTGGATGAAGACATCTGGGAGGAAATTCAGGTTAGCATGATAATGTCACATTATCATTATAAAGCTCATGAGTAATTTTTGCAAACTATTGTAATAAATTCCAACAGGTTTTATATCTTTGTTCAATGATTTTATTTTCTAAAATTAAACGCTTGTATTTTCATAGTTATATAGATCTGCAGATCATAATCTTATTTCCTTTATATACTCCATCTTTTGAAAACTTTTGTGTACTGAATAAACTGTGACAAAGTAATAATTATTTTTTCTTAAAAAAATCAATCTAAGATTTCTAATTAGTCCTTTGTGTAACCTGAGAATCATTTTTACCATAGTAAGGTAATACATTCCAACCAAAAGGAAAGAATTTTTCAGACAATGAAAAGAAATTTTGGAAGTTAGAGGTTTATATTCAGCATTTGCCACATTTTCCTGTAATGGAATTGGCCTTCTCTGCTGCTGTGATTTTGTGGTGTTTTTATTTCTAGCTTTGATTTCTGCCCTTGTTCCTTCATATCCTGGCCCAGCTTTTAGATTCAGCAATTTGTTTTTATGGCTGATTTTTTTTTTTTTTTTTGTCTTTTGTCTTTTTTCCGTGTCCGGCAACGGATCGCAACCCTCAGTGTTGCCCCCGTACCGGACCGGGGACCGGCAACGGGATCGCAAGCCTCGGCGTTGCTCCCGTGCCTCGCTCAGCCAGTGAGCGGGAGCCGGTCTGTATGTGGGATCCGAACCCTCGGACGGGAGCGCTGCCGCGCTTCCCAAGCGGCGCACTATCCAGTGCGCCACCGGGCCGGCCCATGGCTGATTTTTTAAGAGAGTAAAAGGCACAACATGGTTGAAATGGTTACTGAATTATTTCAAGACCTAATAATGACCAAAAAATAACAAAGAAAACTGTTGTTTTTCTAATGCCTGACAACTGAATAGAGGTTACAGGGAGCCCTAGTTAGAAAATGTGAACTTTGTAAGACTTCAGAAGAGACTGCTATACTAGTTTTTGCAGCATGCTGATAAAGATGTCAGAAAAGGAGATATTTCAATGACATTTCATGAAATTTAGTCTCGTACTCCATTCACTTTTTAAATTTATTCTATGAAATTTGAAAGGGCAGATTGTTTTATTGCATCCGTGGCCAAGCAAGGGTAAGAATGTGGACAAGTATTTTTGATATGAAAGTTTGTTTTTTTTCCTAGTAGTTGATGCCAGTGCCAATAGGTAATTTAAGGTGGAAAGTATGGAAATTTGGTTTTCAGAATTATTCTAGAATTTTTCTGGGGTGCCTTTTAAAACTTTTACATATAAAATTGATTTAACCTAGAGCAAAATACAGTGCAAACGATTTTAAGCAATTACACGAATCTAGTTATATATTTTATATTTCTATAAAAAATTAAGCTCTTTGATGAAAAAATTGAAGTTGATAGGAAGAAATTTATTTTCAACAGATATGATATTGTATATGCTGTGAGAAATGTAGAGATAAAATTATTCATTAATTCTACCCAAAGGTATGGTATACTATAGTATAAGTTATGTTATTGTTTAGCAGATTTTAGAAGCCAGATGCATTATGGAAACTTGAGAGAGGAAGGAAAAGCCAAATTGTTTTATGCAAATATTGGCATTATAACTCTTTTTGTGTAATATAATAAAAAAATTGTTAGAAGTTATAAATTACCATAGGATAGTGAACTAATGAAATATCTAAATCCTAGCCTATTTACAGAAATGCACTTTTTTGTTCTTACTTTCAAGTATGTATGACAACTGGAGTTCATTATACTCTGGCAAATATCCTTGTAATTACCTCTTTTATTAGATATATTTTTAAAAAATGATATGGTGTAGCCCAAAATATTGTTTGCAAACGCAGGAGCCACTTCTTTCAAGTGATTTTTATCACCATTATCTAGTGACATTTAAATTTAATTTTTAAATGTAATAACATCGCAGGTAGAATGTGAAAGCATGGAAATATATACATGCGCAATGCAAATAGTTTGTGAAAAAATGGAATTGAAAGATAAGATGAATCGTTCCATCAACTTTTTGAAAGACCCCTTGTATATCATGTAAACATTAATCCAAAGAAAGCAAGAGTGGCTGTATTTATCAGATACAGTAGACTTCAGAGCAGAGAAAATTACCAGAGAAGAGAGCGACATAACATAATGATGAAAGGGTCAATTCACCAGGAAGACATAGCAGCCCTAAATGTGTGTGCAACAAATAACAGAGGTACAGAATACTTTGGAATTAAATAGTGCACTTCTAAATAATCTATGGGTCAAAGAGAAATCTCAAGGGAAATAAAAAATATATATATATATTGAACTGAATTAAGATAAAATGACATGTTAAAATTTGTGAGACAGAGATAAACAGTGCTGAGAGAGAAATTTATAGAACTAAAATGTTATATAAGAAAAAAGGAAAAATCTCACCATAATAACCTAGAAAAAAAGAAGAGCAAAGTAAATCCAAAATAAGCAAGAGGATGTAATAAAGATAAAAACAGAAATCAATGAAATTGAAAATAGAAATACCATAGAAAAAAAGCAATGAAACAAAAAGCTGGGGGTTTTAAAAAGATAAATAAAACTAACAAACTTCCAGCAAGACTGATAAAGAAAAAAATTAAGAAGACACAAGTTACCAATATTAGTAATAAACAGGATGTCATATAGACTTTGCAGACCTCAAAAGGATAATAAGGAAATAATATGAACATACAATGTTTGACAACTTAGATGTCAATCTATACAATGAACTGTACAACGTTTGACAACTTAGATGTCATGAGCCAATTCCTTGAAATACACAAATTGTTACAACTCATTCAATATAAAATACCAAATTGGAAAAACCTTAAAGTTATTAAGGAAATTGGATTTATAATTTAAAACTTCTAAAAACTAAGTCTCCAAGCCCAGATGGTTTCACTGGAAAATCTTACCAAACTATTTAAGAAGAATTGACACCAACTCTATATAATCTCTTATAGAAAATAGAGGAGGAGGGAACACTTTCCAACTCATCTTATGAAGTTAGTGTTATCTTGATACCACAAAGACAGTTTAAAAAGCAAAAACAAAACAAAAAAAATTACTACAGCTTAATATCCCTCATGAATATAGATGCAGCATTTTAAAACAAAATATTAGCAAATAGAATTTGGCAGTATATAAAAAGAATTATACACTATGATCAAGTGGGCCTTATACCAAGTATGCAGGACTGATTCTGTATTAAAAAATGAATCAGCGTAATTCACCATGATCATATCAATCAATGAAGAAAGCATTTGACAAAATTCACATCCATTCATGATAAAAACTTTCAGAATCAAAATAAAAACTCTCAGAACAAAGACTAACAACTGCTTGAATGAAGCTTCTCTAACATGTGTATTTTTTCCATAAGGCACATCGCTGTCTTGTAATGCATAGGAACACTAGAAGACACTTCAGTACTATGCTTGGGGCCATTTTAAACAGGGAAATGAGCATCAAAAAGCACAGATGTGGAAATGTGGCACTAAATAGACCACAAAAAGGACACTTACAGGATGAGAACTGAAACAAGGCAGGTCATCACTTTGTTCAACCTCAGCTGGGAATGTGTATGTCAGGTGACTCAAATTTTCCACTGCTCTACACTTGTCTGCAAATGACTTCAAAATTGCTGTGAGAATTGATTTTGTGATTGCAAGTAGGCAAATTTGCAAATACGGAATCCACAAATACTGAGGATGGTTGATACTTAGGTTTAAATTTAACCAAACATGTCCAGAATTTGTATGCTGAAAACTGCAAAACACTGATAGAAGAAATCTAAAAAAGATCAAATAAATGGAGAGACCATGTTTATGGATTAGGAGAGTCAACATAGATAGTAAAGATGACAGTTAATATAAAGGTTTAACACAATTTTTATAAAAATTCCAGCAAGATTTTTTGTAGGTATGGACAAGATTATTCTTAACTTTATATGGAAAGGCAAAGGAACTAAAATGGCTAAGACAAAATTGAAAAAGAAGAATAAAGTGACAGGAGTCAGTCTTACCTGATTGCAAGACTTACTATATAGCTACAGTACAGATTATCTGATAAAGGTGAATGGTTAAGCATACTTTGGTACATTCATGTCAGGAATACTACTCAGTAATAAAAAGGATTGAACTATTCATACATGTAACAACCTGGATTGATCTCCAGGCAATTATGCTGATTTTAAAAAGTCAACCCAAAAGGTTACGTGATTCTATTTATATAACATTCTTGAAATGACAAAATTAAAGAAATGAGTGGATTTGTGGTTTCCAGAGGTTAAGGCAAGGGAGATTTTGGGGAGTCAGTACAGTGTGGAGTGACTGCAACTATAGAAGGGCAACAGGAGAGATTCTTATGATTGGTGTTGGAATTGCTCATATCTTGATTGTATCAGTGTCAATATCCTGGTTGTGATATCGTTCTATAGTTTTGTAAGACATTATCATAGTGGGAAACTGAGTAAAGGGTATATGGGGTCTCTCTATATTATATCTTTTTTTTTTTTTTTTTTGACCGGTAAGGGAATCGTAACCCTTGGCTTGGTGTCATCTGCACCGTGCTCAGCCAGTGAGCGCACTGGCCATTCCTATATAGGATCTGAACCAGCGGCCTCGGCGCTCCCAGCACCGCTGTGCTCCAGCGCCGCAGTCTCCTGAGTGAGCCACAGGGTTGGCCCATCTATATTATATCTTATAAGTACATGTGATTGCTAATTACCTCAAAATAAAAAAGTTTAATTAAAATGTTATAAATCAAGCTGAAAAATCTAGGTAAAATGTGTATTATCTTCCTACTTAGATAAGTATATTTGTGTAACACCCTACAAGGCCAACTTTGAATATAAATTCTCAGACACATTGGAGGGCCACACTAGAGCATAGTGGTGTGGGGAGAGCTGGCCTCTGGTGTCCATCCTGCAGCCAACTCTCCTTTCTTTCTACCCCTGCCATCCTGTACTACAAGGGGTGTCACGTGATTGCATGCAGACATCCTGAACCATTCAGCTCCATTCAACCACCCTCTACAAACAGCTGTTCCTCAGGCCTAAGAGTGTGAAATACATGTATACATATATAATGGATTGTATAATAAATCTTAGCTCTTTGAGAAAAGAAAACCCTCTTACTTTTCAACTTTGGTATATTTGGCTTCCTGAATTTAAGGGTGCCCATCTACTCAGAGTACCTTTTTGGCTCATGGATATTTTCCTATGATTTTACTATCAGTTCTGTATATTTTACTACCTAAGTTAAATTTTATCTATTCCTTTTCTCAGTTTACTGGAACCATTTCCAATATATACAGAGGAGGATTCAGTTTTAAAAAACATTGCTTAAATATGTGAAATTATGTAGTAGATTTCGAAAGTAAAGTAACTATAAGATGACATTATAGAGTTCAGACATTATTTTCTGTTTTCTTTTAAGGGATTTATTGTGTTTTTTATTGTTTTCATATTTTGAATCCCTTGTGCTTTATCTTGAATCTCCTGTATGCTTTATTTATCTTGGTTTTTTTCTTTAGATGTTCAGAAAATCATTGGTAAAGATGTTTGAAGTTAAGGGATTGGACTGCATCTTTTTAGAGACTAATATGAGCATGAAGAAACAGTATCACATGGTTTATGAATGCATTCCTCTTCCAAAGGAAGTGGGTGATATGGCTCCCATCTATTTTAAGGTATTTATAGCTAGTCTTTGCATACATATTTATTTTTTGCTGTAGTACTATTTTATGAATACAGTTATCTTTGTTATATTTTTTCCCTGATATACAAGTACTTATATTCAATTTTATATCATATAAAGAAATGAAGTAAAGCACAAGATATTCTGCAGTATAAATTTTTATCAAGGAAATTTGAGATTTTAAACTTTTAAAAGGTCATACTTGCTTAGAAGCATGAATAGACTGTCAAATGGTAACAAATAATTTCCATTTTAATTTCTCACTTTTCAAATTAAATCAAGGTTTTACTTTGAAGCACTTTCAAAGCAAAATTGTAGTCATAATTCTAGATCGGATAACTTCGTATAATGTATGCTATACGAAGTTATTACGATTTCTTCTTTAAGGTATTTATAGCTAGTCTTTGCATACATATTTATTTTTTGCTGTAGTACTATTTTATGAATACAGTTATCTTTGTTATATTTTTTCCCTGATATACAAGTACTTATATTCAATTTTATATCATATAAAGAAATGAAGTAAAGTACAAGATATTCTGCAGTATAAATTTTTATCAAGGAAATTTGAGATTTTAAACTTTTAAAAGGTCATACTTGCTTAGAAGCATGAATAGACTGTCAAATGGTAACAAATAATTTCCATTTTAATTTCTCACTTTTCAAATTAAATCAAGGTTTTACTTTGAAGCACTTTCAAATCAAAATTGTAGTCATAATTCTAGAAAACTGATTATTGAAATACATTAGAGCCAAAGATAATAACATACAAACAGTACAAATTACAGTTGTTGAAACAAGTTATTGCTATAAGTTTTAGTATTTAATATCTCATCATGCTATTTGTAAAAAGAAAAATTTCCAACACGATGTACATTTTTGGAAACATAATAAATGATTAGAGTTTGTAACCAGATAACTGTCATTAAACATTCAGACAGCTTTTACTAAATAGTATGTGCTTGATGCTGATCTGAATACGATTTATAGAATAATACAAATGCGCAAATATAGAGCCATATATGAAGTATTAACATGTCCAAAGAAAAAGAAAGGTAACGTTTTGTGAGCTGGTTTAAGAAGATGCATATGAAACATTTACACAATATGGGATGTTAAAATTTATTAATATGAACTGTAAGATCTAATAAAAAGTGTTATAAAATCTGTCAGGGTTTATGAGTTGATAAATATCTACTTTCTCTGTAGAAATCTTTAAAGATAATCTGATTATTTGATGTGAAGACTTATGCCATTAAAGTATAAGAGAATAAGCTAGATAATCCCAAAGATTCATGCCAGTCCTACGTTAGCCAAATTTAGTTGAGAAAGTGATTATTATACTTTCTTCAGTGTGTTTTTTTGTATTTCTCAGTAGTCTTAGGTGATTGTGACTAGAGGTATTTGAGGTATGTGGCCCAGCACAGAACAGCCACTGTTGCTCATGTGGGGTGACAGAAATGTCATCTCTTAGCAGACTTATGTATCACTTTTCTCTTCTACACTTAGCCTTTTATGATCATTAAATATGCATTTTATTTATTATTTGATTTGGCTTCAATTTTATATTGAATATGCTATATTTTAATGTCAAGCCAAGCAACTGATACCTTTTAAATAGGAGACAGCAGTATATCTGATGTATTTCAGTTGTACTTATTTCAATGTTAATGTCATCTTTAAAATTTGTTTCATTAATAATGATACTGTAAAAAAATGAGGTAATTTTATATTAATCATCCTAGCTTTTCTTTTTATTAAATATTTCTTTTATCAAAAATAGTAGTCATACTGCTTAGCCTAGGAAGTCTTTGAATCCCATTTCTGTGTACTTTTCTTTCCCTGCATTTAAAAAAAAAATATTTTTAATTACAAATTGACAAATTACAACTGTATAAATTCTGCCATCAAAAACATAAAATGTGTAGAGTTGTATATAAATCACAGTTAAGTTGACATCAGCTTGAAATAGACTGTTATAAGGTATTCCCTACATTTTTACTTCTTTATAATATGGGCAGAAATAGTTCAAGTCCTTGGTTGCCAGAAAGCATATGAATTACTCTCTTGATATTTGGAAGAAGAGCAGTAAAACTAAATGAATTTACTTGAGTAGATTTTAGTGAATGCAGTGAGGAATTTGTGAACTTTTATGTTCACAAATTATGTTCACTATTAAGTTGCTCAGTCTTATTAAGGGTTGTTTTTGTGTTGTAATGTTGACCAAGAGTTGTGAGTTAAGAATGAGTAAAAGAATATTGTCTTTGGTGAGAGCAGAACAGTGGTTACCAGAGACTGGGGAGGGAAGGTGGGAAGGGAAGACATGGAGAGGCTGGCCAACCAGAGCGAAATTACAATTAGATAGGAGGAATAAGTTGTGATGTTCTGTTGTACAGTAGGGTGACTGATTAACAGTTAAGTTTTGTATATTACATAATAGCTAAAGGAGAGGCTTTTGAATGTTTTTGCCACAAGGAAATGATAAATGCATGAGGTGATGGTTACATTAACTATCCTGGCCCATCTTACACAACATACATATGTATCAAAACATCACAATATACCCCTAAGCATGTATGATTACAATGTGTCAATTAAAATAAATAAATAAAAAAAAAAAAAAGAACATTGTCTTTGGCTAAAGATAGTACTTTACAAAATTAAGAAGTTCCAATTTTAAATAACTAAAATTAAAGCCTTAATTCATTCAGAATAATGGCCTACCATGTGTAATATACCCTGTAATTAATTCGCTGTATTACTTTGTTTTAAATGGTCTCTTTGTATTTGCTTATATATTACTTTTTCATTTGACAAATGGCTATTTCTTAGAAAGCCATAATGGAATCTGATGAAGAGTGGTCTATGAACAAGAAGTTAATTGATCTCTCCTCTAAAGATATCAGGAAGTCTGTAAGTACCAATTTTTTTTCTAGTATAAGAAATTACCATAGTGTTCAGAATCTTCATTGTTTTCCATGTCTTAGTTTAAAAGAAACCATTTGGCCGAGTGTCTAAAGGTGAAGTAACTCATTCCACAACTTAAAAAAAAAAAATTATTTTCTTCCCAGCTGCCCTAGAAAATGCTTATTTGTTTGTAGAGGGTTTTATTTGTTCATATGAAGGTTTCTCTTCCTGACCTTCAGTCCTCTGCCATTGTAGTCCCTATAATTGGTTGTGGCAACCATTAGATTCTGCCCTGAGAGCTCCTCTGGTGGGCTTCTCAGCTTCTGTGGGACAAGTGCGGCCTTCTTGTTAATGGAATTACTCTGGGAGAAGAAATTTTCTAGAGGCTCCAATTTGAATTTGGAACTCATTTTCTTTTTCTTACACGAAGATTTCCTGCTATGTTCCTTTAAAACAGTAGTTGAGTTAAGATGGATTCTTTTGGGGCCGGCCCCGTGGCTCACTCGGGAGAGTGCGGCGCTGGGAGCACAGTGACACTCCCGCCACGGGTTCGGATCCTATATAGGAATGGCCAGTGCGCTCACTGGCTGAGCGCGGTGCGGGTGACACCACGCCAAGGGTTGCGATCCCCTTACCGGTCACGACAAAGACAAAAAAAAAAAGATGGATTCTTTTGGAGACTTGCTTCACCATGTTTCATAGTTTAATCTTGATTTGCAAATCACCTTTTGGATATAAGTTACATGTAAGTTGAGTACTTCTGTAATAGCCTCTCTCTTTTCTAGAAATATAAATTAAATGTAATAGAGATTTAATAGAAGTATGGATTTCTTTTTTGTTTTTCTGTTAAAAAAATAATTTATTCTACAAATATTTACTGAGTGCCTGCTATTTTTCAGGCACTGTTCTAGGTGCTTTTTGTAAAATAGTAGAATAAAACAGAAGATTCTTGTCTTTATTGTGCTTATTTTTTAGTGCCAGGGTTGGCAACTCAAACCTTCATGCTAAATTCATTCTTCTGTCTGTCTGTGTAAACAAATTTTTGTTGGAACTCAGGCACACTCATTTGTTTATGTATTTGTCTATGGCTGCTTTCATGCTACAAGGCAAGAATTGAGTAGTCCTAACAGAGACCATAGGATCCACAAAGCCTAAAATATTTTTATGAGAACCTATTACAGAAAAAATTTGCCTATCCCTGTTGTAGCAGATGTCGGTAGAGTATTTCTCCCCTATTTCTTCTTTTGGAAAGCCACATTCCCAATACATGTCATGTGACTGATAGGATTCCTTATTACAGTTACTATACTGCAGTCAAAAGATTCAAATTTTACTTTATTATTGAAGAAACAGTTTTTATTCAGAGGTTAAAGACCTTGAAAGCACACGCAATAAAAGCAAAAGTAGACAAGTGGGATTATATCTAACTAAAAAGCTTCTGCACAGCAAAGAAAACCATCAACAGAGTGAAAAGACAACCTATGGAATGGGAGGAAATATTTGCAAACTATGTATCCGACAAGGGCTTAATGTCCAGGATATATAAAGAGCTAAAATATTGTCTGTAATCATTTTCTGTTCTCTTGCTGGTGAATTGGGCCAGACAACATATTAAAATACAAACAAACAAAAACAAAAATCCCCTAAAGGTCATGTTTACTTCTCTCCCTTACGAGCCTATAGGAAAAGGTGTTTAAAATGTGCATGTATCTTTTGTCCTTGGGTTTTTCACTTCTCATATCATAGCTTCCCGTGCCATTAAATATTCTTTCAGAGCACACTTTTAATGACAGTTGAAAATATTTTAAAGTAGGAAATTTAAAAGAAATATATCATTCTCCATATATAAACTATGTATAAATAGTTTCTTACTAGTGAACCACCCAGTATCCATTACTTATTTGTTTTTTAAAACCCAGATGAGTACCTGAATTAAGTAGCCAGGAAGTCTTAATATTTTTAACTTAACCAATACAGAAAATAAAATTCAGATACAGATCCTTATAAGAACAGCAGTTGTATATTCAACCTAAAAGCATTTCAAAGATAGCAACAATTGCCTTTACTAAGGCATCATATTTCAAAGATAGCAGCAATTGCCGTTACTAAGGCATCACATAGTTCCTGTATATGAGACTATTCGAGAGTCACAGTAGATGGGGATTGACCAGATGACCTCTTGAGGTCCCTCTTAGCTTTAGGATTCTATAATTATGAAGATAGAGTTGGAAAGAAAACTTTAGTATAAGAATAATTCCAAAGAAAGCCAATTTTTAGGTTAACAAGCTTTC